GAACTTCACCGGACGGCCCTCGGCATCGAAAGCTAGAACGGGAGGACTAGCCATAGCGACAGTAGCAGTAGCAGTAGTAGTAGGAATCAGGCCGCTGGAAAGGTGTGCGGAGGGTCAACGGGGCCGGCGGGGCCGCTAGGTAAGGCGCAGGCGGGGTCGACTGTCCGTAGTGGCACACGAGCGGCAATAGTAGGTAGCAGTGTGCGCGGTAGGTAGTAAATAAGCAGCAGTGAGAGCGAGTGCCTCGCGGGCGGCGGCTGCAGAAGCGCACGGGCGGCAGTGGCGCACGGGGAACGGTGGCGCACGGGCAATGGCGGCAGCGTAGGGGCAGCGGTGCGCAAGCAGCAGCGGAAGCAGCGGCGTGCAAGCAGCTGCGGGCAGCGGGGCGTGCGCGAGCAGACGACGGGCGGCTGCGGGCGGGCGGCCGCTGCGACGGCGGGCTGCGGGCCTGCAGGGCGTGCGCGAGCAGGCGACGGGCGGCTGCGGGGCGTGCGCGAGCAGGCGACGGGCAGTAGCGGCGCACGGCAGTGGCTGCGGCGGCGGCAGCGAGCACGGCAGCAGCAGCAGCAGCAGTGCACGGGCGGTAGTAGCGGCGGCAGCGGCTGCGGGCACGGCAGAAACGCGGGAGCGGCAGCGGGCGACTCGCGGGCAGCAGCGGCAGCAGCAGCGGGGGACCGGCGGGCGGCAGCTGCAGCGGTGCAAATCGCGGGCCGGCGGGGCCGCGGCGGGCTGTGCGCTAGCGACGCAAAGGCGTGCGAGCAGTGCGCGGGCAGTGCGACGGGGCCGGCAGCGGGCAGCACGCAGGCCGCGGGGGTAAAATGCGGGCTGCGTGCGCGGTGCGCGGGCCGGTAGCGGGCGGTGCGCGGGCCGTTAGGGGCGATCGCAAGGCCGACGGGGCCGCTAAGGGGCGAGCGGCGGGGTCGTTCGAGGCGCTAAGGGGCGGCGCGACGGGGCCGTGAGGGGCCTCTAGGTGGGGCTCGATCGACGGGGCCAGCCGGGCCGAATAAAAATAATGAAGCGCTCGAGGGCGCTACGGGGGAGGCGCTAAGAACGCGCTCCGGTAGTAGGTAGGTAGTTAGGTAGCGAACGGTGGGCCCTTAGGAACGGTCCTAGAGAAGGACCTGCTCTGAAACCATGTCAAAATAACAGACTGGAATGACTGTACTAACAGAAGGCTGGATACAAATAGGAAACCCTAATCCAGTGTACCCCCTAAGGCGTAACCCACTACAGCCTACAACCATATAAACATATAATGTTTGACAGTTTAGACCCGCGATTTTCGGGGGTTCTACCGGCTACAATACACGGAGTTGCGTCGAGTTCGGGTTTAACGAGAGAAACGGGTTTCGAGCTTCAGGAGGCGAGAATTACGACCCACGGGGAAACGCTCAAGCTGATGCCTAAACGTTTGCGGCTAAGTGGCGGTAGCCGGATGGGTACCACTACCGGCCGAGGTTTCCGAACGTTTCACATACCTCACGCCCAGAAGGCCTCGAAGGCAATTAGTAAGTCCTATTGGCCACTGGATCCAAAGGTGGGGCCCTGTGTTTAGCCCTGTGCTGGCTAAAAAGCGCCAGTTTGACAGCTGGGCGTAGAAGAAATTTTTGAGGAGACGACACTGTTTCGGCCCCGAGAAAACCGGACCATCGGCAGCAGTTACCCCGCCGAAAAAGTCGGAACTGAAGCAGTTGGTGCATCTGTCGGAGTTTCTCCTAATTTAACGGTCTACCCGATGGTGGTGTAACGGTGAAGAAGGGGTTTCCGAAGCTGGGAGTTTTAAATGTGATAGACACGGTGGGCAACGAAGCGCCCGGTTCGACTGTTTGATTCGATAAACATGACCCGGCTACGATAGCGTTCGCGCCTTCACCGAATGTCAGAAAAATCGCGGGCAACACGGAGTTATACCTCATCCGACAAACGCGGCTGCTGGGTGAACGGTGGCTCGCCGATATTGTCGGGGGGTGAAACGAAAACAACGACGGTGGGAGACGGGTGCACGTCTGCTCGCCAAACGACTTCGCGGTGTACTTCGAAGCCATCTGGGGAAATTCTACTGTGAGATCTGCGGCGTTGATGCGGGTTAGGTTCCGTGAAATTCGGTCACGGTAGACCCATGACTCTGGGTTCTGCACGAAAAAAGCACCTCCTGTTGGTGGGTTGCTATTGTGGTTAACCACGGAGAGTAAAATGGCGACGGGTGTTCACGCTAGATACACCGGTTCTTCAAGGGGATAACCTGCAGGTGACCAAGACGTACAAGAATTTTCGGCACCGACATTTACGAAAGTACCGAGTACCGGTTTTACAGGAGTTCGGCGGTGACGGCCGACAATTTCGTGAAAACGGCGGAGTTGCAGCGGCGCTGGGATAAGCACGCGAAAACTGCCGTGGTGAACTTCTTGGCGGCAAAATCTGTGGAGTTTCGGGGGTACCAGCCGCAGCACTGGTGAAAATTATCGCAACAGGTGGGGGAAGAAGGACAATTTTTTTCGCCTCTGCCCCGAAGCTTTCGGCGAGTCACGATAACATCGCCAAGGTAGCTGACATCATCGGCAGTCAAAATTCGACTGGGAAAACTATTGCAGACGGTCAGGGGGAAGTGCAGCAGCTATTTTCGCCCCAACCCGGGAGTTTTTCGGAGAAACGCGACAAAAAACATCGGCGAGTCCGGACAAGACTGTGAGAGGTGCTGACGTCATACGCACCTGAGTTCGAGTTTTCGGCGGAGCTTTCAAAGTCTAGCAATCAGTCAGTTACTTCTTCGCTTTCATCGTCGAACGTCGCTGATGCGCCACAATGCCTTCGTAATTTCCGCGACATTCTTCCGACGACCCGCCAAAACGATCTGGGGTCACGACTGACGGAGTTTTCAGATGGTGCTTCGACTGCTCAATCCCGACAAAAGGACCACACGTGATTTTCGGGTGACAATTGCTGAAACCGGAGATTTGGCAGCAGTAAATTGATTCGATACTGCCACGCGAGAGATTTCGAGGTGGCAGTCACGGGAGATTCTGCAGCAGCAGTCGTGACAATAAGACAGAAGCATGAATTTTCGGGTTGCAAATGCTGCCAGCTGGGGATGCAGCAGCAGTCGGGATATTCTGACAGACTGGCGATAACAAGAAAATTTTCAAATCGCATGAAACTCTACGCCGGGCTTCAACGGCGTTTACCCAGGGTATTTTGGAGTTCCCGACAGTGGGGGATTTTGCCACCGACTTCGCTTCGACAGGCAGCTGCAAAATTTCAAAGGGGGTTCATCATACTTGGTGGATTAAACTAACCTCGGTATGCAGGTTGGTTGGAGTTTTTCTACCCGCGCAGCTGTGCAGGTTCTGGTGCGCAGTCATTTTCAGAGGGGGGGGGGAGAGTGCTGTCGCACTGCATTCCCTTGGCAGTCCCTGACATTTCTGTCATACTCGAGCAGCACAAGGGACGCCCGAGATCAATTTCAGTAGCATCGACGGCTCCTGCTCATCGCCCTCTGACATCGTGTCAGACTTCTTGCCGACATTACGTTCATCTGTACCGTCCAATACACATCCGCGACATCGACGGCTTTCCTTCGTCGAGCGATTTCCAATTGACATTCGCTTTCAACCCCCCGATCGACATCGGCAAAATCTATGGCTGACATTCCAACTCTTTGAATTTCGCCTGGTCAACGCGCTCAGCCACGCGTCAACTCGAAAGTCAACACGCTTCCGCACCGTCGGATCAGTTTCGACCGAGATTTGCAGTATGCACGCTACTGCAGTCTCGCCTACATATAAGGGCACCTTATTTAGAAGGTGGGAGAGTGTAATGGATTAGATTTCACTACAGTAGAGGCTGTTCCTAGCGAGGACAGCCCGAACTGTTCGCGTCAGTTTGGGCTCGGCCTACACTTTCGTACCGAACCAGCGCCGAGTCGCCCCGCACCAATCGCGACACTTCCAAGCCTCGCACGTCCCGAGGCCCTCGCCTAGCACGGTTTCGACCCTATAAATGCTCGCTTCATTATCATTCTCGGCATGCTGTATTCAACATCCTTTTTATAAAGTCTTCCGCGCACTCTTCTTAGTACAACTCATAACATCAACCATTGCTGGAAACCAATCATGCGGTTAAAGGGGTACGAGAACTAGCTAGTCCATTGCAATTACACAACTTACAAATACATATTTTTTTTTCATTACATTCTACAAAATAAGGGGAACATATTTCAAACTGCCACCATTGGGTTAGGAATTCCACCTTGTGGCAGAACGACTTGCTTGCAGACCGGTTGCCTTGACCTCGTGCTACTCCTGAAAACTTCCTTTCCTGCATGGTTGAGGGAGTGGTGGGAGTGAGATGGTAGTGGGAGTGAGATGGTGGTGGGAGTGAGATGGTGGTGGGAGTGAGATGGTGGTCGGATTGAAATAGTGGTGACACTGAGATAGTGGTGGGAATGAGATAGTGGTGGGTGGGAGCGAGGCGGCATAGGGTGTGAGTTCTCTCCAGAGAAGAACCATCTGGTGGGACTGATGCATGCATCCCAACATCAGGGTCTAGGCCTTGTCTGTTCTTCTGGAAGTGAGTTCTGCCCCACCTGCCCCACCTGCCCCGCCTGCCCCACCTACCCCACCTGCCCCTCCTGCCCCTCCTGCCCTTCCTGCCCCTCCCCCCGTTTTTCCCCTCCCTCTACACCCCATTCTTCCTCGCTGCCTCCGCCAACACGCTCTTGAGCAGCCTGTGCGCCCCATTGTCGTCCAGAATGGCCATGCCTCAACCACAACCACAACCACAGGAATGCTGCGAGCATTACCCCTCCCTCCCTCGCACGGCCGCTTCCAACCATTCCTCACCTCACTGTGTGCCATTTGATAGCACCAATACCCCACCTCAGCCTCTATTCACCTTAACCTGTTCTCTACTCACCTTGGCAAGGCAGCATCCTCTCTCGTGTGCCATATGATAGCACCAACACCCCACCGCATCCTCTACAGGCCATCTCATCCTGCACTCACCTTCAGCTCGATAGAGTGCTTTGAGCTCAAAATGCCGCTGGAAGCAGCATCCGACCAAGTGGGGAATAAGGCGAAGCGGAAGTGGGATGGGGCGGGTGCTGGTGGTGTGGGTGGTCGGATAGGGGTACTTGGAATTGTGGATGCTGTGCAGGATCTGACAGGGCCGTGTCAAGAGTGTTGCGCCAGGATCTGATGGATCTGTGGATGTGGATGCTGTGCAGGACTTGACATACCATGGATGACAGGGCCGCGTCAACACTGCCTGGACAACAGGGCCAAGGAAAGGTTGGGTCGGATGGACATGGCTGGTTGGAACGATGAATGCCGCATACATGAGAACAAATCTTCAGTCAGCTTTGAAAATCGCCTGAAAATTCTTGAGCAAGACTAACGTAGGGTTGAGCATAGGGGCGGGCGGTACCCAGCTCGGGACAGGAGGGGAAGATAGTGAAAGATAACGGGAGAGGTGAGAGGGGAGTAAGGGGGTTGAGGCGGCAGCACAGGCAGCAGCGCAGGCAGCAGTGCATGCAACTAGAGGGTTCAGCTCCGGTGCGCGCGTGTCGACCTGCTGGGCATACCTGTGTGGTTCAAGGAAGGGCTGTGGAGAGCATGAGATGACCACGAGAAGTCGTGACCTGCTGCAAGGCTGCCAAAGGAGGTGTCGTTGACTAAGCCATCAGGATAGTTTTGAGACTCAGTAACAACTCCATGTCTCATCTGCTGCTTGCCTCACCTGTTGCTCGCCTCACTTGCTGCTCGCCTCACCTGCTGCTTGCCTCATCTGCTGCTCGCCTCCACGCCAATGTATGGCTGAGAATGCCTTTCTCCTCCCTCCCATGCATCTCCCTCTCCTCCTCTCTCCCGTCCACTATTTGCCCCTCCTCCCATGCCTCTCCTCTGCACTCTGCTTCTTCCTCTCCCGCCGTTTTCCCCTCCTCCTCCCTGCCCTCCATCCTTCTATCCCCTGGCCCCCACCCCCCCTCCCCCCTCTCCGACCCCACCTTCCCCTCTTCCCCGTCGCTGACCCTACTATTGGTTCCCCCACCCCCACCGCTGTGCCACCACACCCCCCTTCACCACTCACGTTCTCCACCCATCCCATGCCTCCCGCACACATCGTACCACCACCATCACTCTCTCCTCCCCCATTCTTCCTTCCTCTCCCCCTCCCTCTCCCCTTCCCCCTCCCCCTCCATTTCCCCTTCTCCCCCCTTCTCCCCCTTTCCCCCCCCCTCCTCCTCGTTCTCCTCTTCCTCCCCGCCCTCCCTCCCCCCTCCCCCACCTCGCCCCCCCTTGGTCCTTCGCTTCAATCTCACTTCACAGCATCATTTTGGTTTTGAACCTTCACTCCGAAGCTCACACAATTGCTCGCCGAAGCTCATCCCCATTCCCTCTTTCCCGCCCTTCCCCACCCCTCCGCCTGCCCCTTCTCCCATCCTCCGCCCTCCTACTCCGCCGCCTCGCCTCCGCCAAACCCAAACCACACGCAGCCATATCCCCCCCTTCCCCTTCCCCACTCTGCGCCTCCCCTCCCCGCTCTGCCTCCCCTTCCCCCTCTCCGCGGTCGCCCGCCACTGCTGCGCCCATCTGCGCCCATCTGAGGAAGTGATCCAGGCGGAGCGCGACCGGCGCGGGCTGTCACCTACTAGTCGCACCGCCCTGCCGATGCTGCTGCAATCTGTGCTACTCGCGGCGACCCTGCTGCCTCCGCCGCCGCCTGCAGCCCCCGCAACCGCCGCCGCCGCCGCCGCCGCTGCCGCCGCCGCCGCCGCCGCCAGGCATCCCGCCTGCGCGACAGTGCTTTCCCCGCGCGCCATTGCTGCTGCTCCTCGCGCATCTGCTGCCGCGGCTTTTTGTCGCGAAATCGTTCTTGCCGTTTTTCCGCCGTCGATAGTTGCTCAATTTTCGCAATCCGTCGCTCTCGCGTCGCAATCTGTCGCTCATTCTCGTCGCCATGCGTCACGCTGTCACGTCATCAATCTGGTGCTAGCGTTTGCGCCACTACCTGACGCATCAAACGTCCTTCGATTGCCATTGTCATACAGCAAATGCCTTTTTACGTCTCTCAACGAATGCATGCTTTCCTGTTTTCCCACCCGCCATTGCTGCTGCTCCTCGCGCCTCTGCTGTCGCGCCTCTCCGCCTCTTCTTGATCTCGCCGCCCTATATGTCGCTTCGACGCGACCGCTATCGTGCCACCATCTGACTGTTGCCCAGCTCTCACTTCTTGATCCTGTGTACTCGTACATAATCAGCCTTGGACCCGTGTTTGCCAAATGTTAGGAAGCGGCACGTCTATGGAATTTGCCAAGATCGGGGAAGGATCGCTGCCTCACACCGATGTGGGCACATCGATCGGCATACCAATGTGCCCACATTGCAAATTTGCGATCGTCTGGACACACCGAGCCTGAGGTGCCACGATCAAAAATCTATGGGGCAAAATGGCCCCGATCTCCACAATTACAGGATCGATGTGTAGGAGCAGGCACATCGATCTTGCGAGCTAGAGGTGACAGATTTCTGCAGACCTTTTTACTGTACAGAGACGACAGTTGGCGAACAAGGATACCAGGCCTTTCACGACATCGTCAGAACACTGTACACCTAGTACTGTCGGTCTCCACTCAGGATCGATCCTGGCTAAATCCCTAGAGGTGCCACGTCCTTAGCCTGACGCATTGAGTGCGCGGTTTTTACGAAGTAACTTCACCACTGAAATGCCCGATGAATACCAAAACGAGGTTGAAATAGGTGGAGCAGGGGCGAACTAGGCGAGGTCTTTGTTATAGTCACAATAGGCTTCAATGTGCCTAAAACGAAAGATAGAGTGCGCAGTCAGGTTTCTGCACAGCGGCTTTAAATCGATCTGGTGCGATCTGGTCACAGCTCCAATCGACCTCATTCAACTTGGATCTGGAGCGTCTTAACGTCGCCTACAATAGGCAATTTAGATCGCACGATTTCATCAAGAATTGACGACACAGCGTCAGATTGAAGGAACGGCACTATGGCAGCAACATAGTCTTAGAAACACAATTACGAACAACTAGGAAGAGTTACGAGTTGGGAATGACTCCCAGCTCCTACAAACCCAAAAGTCGAGGTAGAGTGATGGGGAACAGTGCCACACTGTCCCCAACCAAGAAGGGTCTCGAAACTACCCTTCACAAGGGCCTACACCAACTGAAATGTTACACTACACTTTGTAATGTAACAATCTTCAATATCTTGAGGTGTACCCTTTTGGCGAGCTTCGAAATCACTTGAAGCTTGCAACCAAGGCTCGGAATCTTCATCACAAACTCATCCTCGAGTTCTTGATGGGTCTGCTGCACACACCTGCGACACGCCGAACGTTCGACAAGCGACAAAATAGAAACCGCGCACGACAAAATAGAAACCGCGCGGGACACACAAAATGACCGCGTAATACGCGGCTAGCGATAACTCGCTATTGACTCGACACACACACTCGACATCATGACCCATCATTCACATATCATTATAAGCATGAAAATATATATTTATTTCATGCACATATACCACTCCATGCACACACGCATGCACGCACACGCACACGGACAACAAGCCGAGTGCAAACTGTAGGGTTGCACCAACAAACCCCCCCTCGGGTTGTTGGCCTTAGGATCTTGCTCTCTCAGTTCAGAGCCATCCCAGCCAGCTTGCAACACTTCCAATGCTGCTGCTCCACCAGCCTTTTGGTCATCATGTCCGCTGGCTGCCCCGTCGTCTTCACGTAGCGCAACTCAACTTCACCCGCGGCCACCATGCTCCTTGTCCAGTGCCACTTCACCCTCATGTGCTTGGTCAGGCCGGGTTCTTGGCTAGAGCTATGGCTCCCTGGCTGTCACAATAGAGTGGGGTAGGTCCTTGCTGCTCCTCCCCCAATTCAGCCAGCAAACGCCGCTGCCACACAATCTCCCGTACGGCACGGAAGAGTGCCATGTACTCGGACTCCACCGAGCTCAATGCTTGGTCCACCTGCTTCTTGCTCTCCCAAGCAGTTGGGCCTCCACCAACACAGCAGATGAAGCCTCCCACACTTGTCATGTCCTCTGGTTCCGATGCATAGGATGCATCCGAGAAAGCGGTGAGGAACAAACGCCCGGGTTCCACACCATCCGCGCCCTTTTGGCGCCTTTGCGCCGCCGCCGAGTATTGCAGCCCAACGGTCGGTGTTTGGCCAAGGTACTTGGCCACCCTCATTCCAGCTGCTACCTGCTCCTCATTAGGGCATTGCACCACCCTAGCCAGCTGCCCGGTAGCAAACGCGACATCCGGTCGTACATTAGGCTGCCCACCAACGAGTGAAAACGACGCCGCTCCTCTTCACCCACGCTCTCCTCCTCTGGTCCCTTCACACACTTGAACCCAGAAGGAAAGGGTGTAGCCACATGGCCTTCATTCTGCCCAAAGTTGGCAGCCAATGCCTCCAGGTACTTGCGTTGGTGCACCCGCATGCACCGCTTCTCCACGTCGCGCTCGATGTGAAGCCCGAGGTAGAAATTCACATCACCAAGGGCCTTGCACTTGAACTTGTCTTGAAGTTTCAGCATCACCTCCTTCACAAGGTCAGAGGAGGGTGAGAAGATGAGGATGTCGTCCACATAGACCACCATGAAGCTCCTCTGCTCCCCCTCGCCAAGCATGAACAAGGAGTGATCGGCCGTTGAGGGAGTGAAGCCGATCTCCTCCAACACTTCGCGCAGCTTCAGGTACCACTGCCTAGGGGCCTGCTTCAGCCCATAGAGGGCCTTCTTCAGCTTCCACACTCTGCCGCTGCCATCGTCAAACCCCTCTGGCTGCGCCATGAAAATCTCCTCCTCGAGGATTCCGTTGAGGAACGCCGTTACGATGTCTAGCTGCTTCACCACCCAACCTTTGATCGCGGCTCCCGCGAGTAGGGTTCGCAGCGTCGTCGGCTTCACCATAGGAGCAAACAGCTCCTTGTAGTCCACATTCTCCTTCTGCTGGTACCCCTTGGCCACCAGCCTAGACTTGTAGCGCTCGATCACGCCGTCGGCATCCGACTTGATCTTGAAGAGCCACTTGGACGTAATCGCCGTACGCCCCTCCGGTAGCTCCACCAACTCGTACGTGTCGTTCTCCTTAATGCTCTTCAGTTCACTCTCCATTGCCTTCTTCCACTCCTCAGCATCACCACTCTCCAAGGCCTCCTTGAGAGTTGCTGGTTCTCCCGGCATCTCCACCAGAGAGAAGAATGCGAAAGCACACTCC